ACTGGAAATGTGGCAGTTGGGCCCGATAACACTCTCCTTGATGACACATGTTGGCTCCACGGTTACATTCTCAGCAAGCAAACAGTCACTCTTCGTAACCGTGCACCGTTGGGCTACGCCCTCCGGATGGGCAACCTTCTGGTTATGCGCAAAAGGCGATGCTGCCTGACGACCAACTTCCTCAATGGATTCCAACTTGGCCAGCCGAAGTGATGTTGACAGAAGGATAGCCGAACTGTCAACTCGTCGGACAAATGGTGCCGATCCTTGTTGGACATAAGCAAGGATTTGAGGATGTTCCACAGAGTGTGAAGCCGCACTGCCGACCTTTGTAGAACTTATGTTGTTGAGGTCAATCTCGTCCTCCACTAAATCACCGTCGTGACTTTTGTTGTCGTGCTGACTCTGATCATGGAAGATCTTATTCATCCCCAGCTTATCCCCTAGACCCTTTTGCCACCCCGACTTGGCCCAATAGCCGATAAGATCCTCACTCACTGATTCCAGCTTCTCCTGGTGGCGAGCTAGATCCTTGACCCAATACGGAAAGACGTAGAGATGCGCATCGCGATAACTAGTCAGCATCTTGACCTGCGCATACTTCTGAACTAATGCATGGCGCACAAGAAAGCCCTTTTCCTGTTCCATCCTCTCTTTCACAGTATCCATAGGCATTGACATGAGTAATTTTGATAGACCAAAGCGCAAGGCTGATGGTCCGTCAACAAGATGTGATACTACCGGAGCTTCATCCTGCTCTAGAGGCGCAACAGCCACAAAGTCGGTGGCCTCACCCTTTACACTCTCCTCACGACCTACTGTCTGATAATATACGGCAAGCCCGCCGCGACGGCCACCTTGCTCCCCACCCGGGCCATCAGGGTTCCCTCCCAGAGCTCCCTGAGTGACCAACCACGCCTCTAGTATAGATTCACCTGGGATGTCACATATAAGGTCGCACGGAAGAAGTAGGAAGTCTGTCTTAATGCATTCTTGAACTTCCGGAAGACGGAGTAGTTCGGCCGTTCCCATGGTCATTTCGAGGTCTTTCGGGGCCACGACGGACACGGAGGGGGCAGGAAGCGATGTGAGATGTGGGTTTTGCTTTAGAGCAGCTTGAAGGGGGGCGAGGGAGGATGGGGGCGTAATTAATGTGATGTCTAATACGAGACGAGCCGCAAAGTTAATCATTGAAAGATCTCCGAGTGAAGACAGGGGGACATGTTATTAGTTAAACGCAAACGTACCCGTAATGCCCGATCGTTTGCAAAAGTCGATTGGATAGAACACCATGGGCCTATTTGCTATAGGAATGAGACTCTTCGGGTACTCCTCCGGATTCGATGTGAAGGTGTTGAGAGAGACGCCCGGGCCGCATAGAATGAGGGCCTGAAAGCCCGTCGAGGGCACCGGAGCCGAAGATGGCATGGTTTGAGACCGATAATCTGCGAGGGAGCAGACTGCGTATTATGCGCCTTTGGAACAGACCACTCTATCACTTGGTTGACCCCGCGCCGCAGTAATGAGATCGTGGGAGTTTCGACACCTGGAACGCGACTGCGCTCTGGAGAAGCTCCAGTCTGTTGTGTCAAGTGCTAGGGAGCATCAGAATACTCAGATACCGCGTTCCGACTAGGCACTGGGGGCTATATGACCGGAGATTGCTCGACGTGGTCCGTCGCGAACCAACTGATGCCGTGAATGGGAGCTGAGTTCGGGGATGGTCACGTGCTGATAGCGGAATGAGTCAGGATCGGGAGGGCCCGACATTAGGTTTGTGGATCCCGTGCACGGTTCATCAACTATGGTCTTGTGAGCTTCAATCCTACCTTTATTATAAATCCTCCGTTCAGAAAATATTCTTCATCCTGCCATGACTTCAGTATTAGTCGCGTCCGCTAATGTGAAGCACGCGGACACATCGATCTCTACGGAAGTTTCATGAGTTTACGTTTTACTCAAACCAATAGCCGCTTGTATGAGACCGTTATAGCCGTCCATCTTCTGCTCTCATAATACATATTTGACATAGTAAAAACACATGTCCTATGAAGGGAAACCAAGAGTGCGCAAGGCTATCTTGCATCAGGTATTTCAGTAACACACCGACCTCACATCAGGGAGGTCATCGCTCCACGATTTCCAGTCCGATCCCAGGCTACTTATTTCATCATCCGTCAGCGCGCGACGGGCATTGGCAGCTTCTTCAAACTCTTCCGGAGTCCGATAACCGCCCATCAGGGCAATTTCGAATATATCCAAGATTGCCGAATCTGGGTCGGTGGCAACGCCATAAATCGTACTGCCCAATGCGCCTGCATCTCCGATGAGCGACATCATATCGGCCAGTTGTTCCAAACCGTCCGAAATCAGCCTGATTTCGCCGAGAAAGGGGACAACCATTAGGACGCCAAAGATAATCTCCTCAATCATCGCCTTCTTTTTCTCTTCCGAGGCCTTATCGGCGACTTCAACCACCTCGCCCATGTTTGCGACCGCTTGAGCCAGCGTGAAGACGACGGTCGAGATGGTGAGAAGCACATCGTTCATGCTTCCTCCATATGCACCAGTGGCCGAGAGTATCTGGGTCAGGTATATTGTCTCGGTCAAATTATAGATTCCTGGAAGTGCATCCTCGGTGATCGTCTGTGGGTTGGTCACGGTGATGTTATCAGCCGGTAGAGGGTAACCCTTCAGCACACCCTTGTCAGGCTGGCATGTCTTGCCAGATCCTACGCCGCAACTTGATCCGACATCTTTGTCCCCGAATTGTACCCAGTCCTTTTGGATTCCGGTGGTGGCTGTGAGGTTGGCCCAGAAGGCAGTAGCGTTGGTGAGGTCGTAGTAAATTTCATAGTCGTTGTAAAGCTGCTCCACGTCAAACGGGCATGTGGTTGTAGAAGCGTTCACGCCATCTTGGGCAAAGGTGCACGTGAAGAAGGCATTTCCAGCACCCCCAGGATTCATGTAATCCTCCAAGTCTCCAGGAACCTCCTCGCGGATGTACTCCTGGTACTCAGTGAATTTCCCGCCATAGTTTGAGATGATGTCCGTGTAATTGGTCATCGTATTGTTGAGCATGTCGGAATGGACACCAAGAGCATAATAATTGACACAATAGTCTTCTATGGAGCTTAGAGAAGACTTCAGGCTCTCAAAGCTGTCGAAAGTGAGGGTGTAGTCGCACGTTTCGACGTCATCGGCACAATCCGAATCAGGATCATCATTTGTGCACACTAGATCTGTGCTGTTACCAGCAACGCTTTCTGAACATACGGGCGATGGACAGTAGCCTCGATCGCAGGCAAAGTCACATAGACCACTGTCAGTATAGACATCCATGGTGTAACCATATATGCTAGTGTTTGCAGTAGGCGGCACGTCTAAGGGACCCGTTGCGGTACAAGTGCAGTTATGGATGGGACAGTAACCATAGGCGCACGCATAACTGCACAAACCTGTCAGGTCACCGGTTCCTTCTCCAGAAGTACAAGTGTAAGGGGTGAAAGGTGACACAGTAGACGTAGCAAGAGCCACTTCGGTAGTGGTGTAGGCAGACGAGGGGCAGTACCCGTAGTTGCAAGAGAAGGCACAGAGACCCGAGTAGTCCTCCGTCATTCCAGCGGCAGGGTAGCCAATCACTCCCAGACTCTTAGGCAATTTTGCCTGGGGACCCATTTCCTGACACAGACATGCCCCAACAGGGCAGTATCCTAGCGCACAAGCAAAGGAGCAAAGGCCGTTGAAGTTGCCTACCCCCCATCCGCGGATGCACACCTCGTCTGCGAGAGAGTAGGTCAGGGTGGCTGAGATCGTGGTGGCCGACATGGCGCTGCCTACCCAGGCGTTCCAATTCTCAATTCCATTTGATGCAGCACAACCTGTGACAATTTCCTCGCCAGTGAAGCTCGCAATGGTATCCCCGCCTCGAGTGATAGCCACCTCGACACTTCCTGCCTGAACCGAAGATTCGACGCTACCATGGTAGATGCCAGTCCCTCCACTGGGGGTACTATTCCATGACGCACCTAGGTCTGTACCCCCGACTGTCACCGAAATATCTGCTGAAGAGGCTAACAGAGCAGAGAAGAATATCCGATCTTGTGGGATCTCGTATGGCCAGTATTCTAGTTGTAGTTCGCTCGCAGTATTGCCAGTCGTCCCGCCATCTGACGTGCAGCTTCCCCGGACATCCAATCGGTACCATGCCTGAACACCTTCCTGCGTAATTGTCGAGATGTTGTTCTTATAAGTATCAGCGAGCCAGGGAAGGAACGCTCGCCAACCGTCGTGTGGCATGTTCAATGCATAGTTATACGGGGCCTGACCTGTTCTGAAAGCTGTATAGGTTGACTCAGCAAGCGAGGAGTCAGCGTCCGGAGTAGGGCCGATGTAGTGTGATTCACCAAAATCATTCCATGAGATGATTTCAATGAACTCAGGGGCCAGAAACATGGCCTGGACCCAGCGGTCATACCAGAGATTATCACCCCGCCACAGCCAGTTCTTGCTGTATCCAGGCATGTTGGTAAAGAACCAGGGCGAGACCGGCATCATGTATGGTTTACCATCCAGAAAATCGATATAAGAGGCGTCCACATAGGTATTCATATCACTTGGGCCGTACGGCCATGCCGCCCAACTGAACAAGCCGTCAGCCACCCCATCTCCAAGGCTCACGGCGACTTCAGCCCCTACGGAGGACCAGTCAGGAATGAAATAGCACCCGGTCTTCTCTTTAATATCGACCCAGTCGCCTGCATTATCAGGACCTTCAAATGTAGAGACAAAGGGCTTCGACTCATATCGCCAATATGCTTTGGCCGATATGTAAGGCCAGAGCATTTCATGATACCGGTCATGTTGTTGTCCTCAATTCCGACTCTGGAGTATGTAAAGTCAATCGAGTCGTGACACGGGCCCTGGTGCATCAACTTCAGGACGCACTTAGCCAACTGCCCAAGTGTAGCACTCATGACTTGGTAGACCAGTCACTTCATATGCTTATTTATGTTCGGACAACAGTTCTTAGTCATGGTGGTCGGGTTACTCTTGAAGGGACTTCTAACCTGTATGTTCCTTCCGACCGGGGACAGACGGCACCAGTGCCAGATCATCCTCTGACCAAGCTTGGACCTTTTCCCCAAGTTTTCCATCACTCCAGCGATGAAGCAAAGTGCCGACAATTCTCCTCCTGCTATCAATGGCTATCTTGCGACGTTGAATTCGCCGAGTCTTCGGGAACGGCGGTACGGATAACATCGTACATCAATAACCTCCACCCAAATAACACGAGGGCATACGCTTCCATTGAAAAGCTTATCTCCCTGGCTATAGCTCCTTGGAATGACGTTCTGGTAAAAGGGTATCAAGGTCGCAGGCCCCGGCGGATCTACACATATGGTGTCTCTAATAGTGAAGTACCCCCATGGGCAGAATACCCGCCGAAGGACCTACTCCCAGTTGTGCCGTATCAAAAAATAACTCGATTCGACTGGGCCTCAGAAGACTGGCAGAGCCATTGTGACAAGGTCGAAGAATATCTTCGGCTACCAGATGTGGATCCGAAATATCACGTTTTCCCACCAGAGCCCGACGATCCACCAGAGACCCAAGACCTTCTGGGTTACATGACACCGGAGATGTGGGAATCTCCCAAAAGCGTCGAGAGAATAGTAAGGGCGAAATGGAGACGACTTCATCGGTTCTCATACCCCGAGCCAGGCATCTCCTATACGTATGAAGACTGGAAAGCGGGTGAAACCGCAAAGCCAATCTTCGGTCCGTGGGAGTGGGAAGGTGAGTATGAGATGACTCAAGATCATGAATACTACTCGGTGTCGTTGGAAGACGAGTTTCGGCAGCAGGGCCTGCAGGTAATTGTGCGGGTCTTCAGTATCGACCTGACAACGAATGAACCCCATTATCCCGGGGATCAAGATTTCCATTTGGACGGCATGCTCAACGAACATAATGTCGCCACTGCCCAGTTCTGCTATAGCTCGGAAAATATCACCGAATCCCGCATCTCATACCAACAAAATGATGATTTGAGTCTGCATGGTCACCAACCGGATCCCTTGTGCATCTACAGACTTTACGGCACACCTCCTTGCCCGGCAGTTGGCGAGGAGCCAAAGGCTCTAAATCTTCAAACACTGGGCTCGGTCGCAGTCACTAGCGGTCGACTTCTCGCTTGGTCTAATACCTTGCGTTATAAGAAGCACCCTTTTTCTCTTCTTGACCCAAGTCGCCCAGGACATCAACGGTGTGTCGTCTTGTGGTTGGTTGATCCCCATTATCGGATCTGCTCAACTCGAAACGTACCCCCTCAACAGCATGACTGGTGGCGCAACGCCGTACTGGCGAGCTCGACCCTGTTATCGACCTTTCCCAAAGAATTGATTGATATGGTAATGAATGAGACAGGACCCTGGCCAATGGATTTGTCCGAGGCCTTGGCGTACAAGAAAAGGTCGGAAGCAGAGAGGGAGGAAGCCCATGAAGCCCAGAAGTCGATGTTTCAAAACTATTGGTTCTGGTATGATTTAGAATATCGCTGAGCAGATTTGTAGGGGTATATTCGAGGTTCGATAGCTCATTTATGCTGAGAGAGGGTTGTTCGTAGATTATGAGCATTTGCTTCCCTTCATTGACTTGGATGTGACATACTGTCTACCGGACGGGGGAAATACTGCGCTCTATAGAAAAATATATCTAGTATGGATCAAATGGATAATTGATGCTGACTACATTTCGGGGGACCTCGTCGTCTCAACCTTTCACTGACGATGGCCATGAACACATGTTGGCCGGATGTATTTCTAGCTCCGAAATAGGGTGAGATGGAAGTTACGATGCGTCTTTCGCTCGCTCAAAGCCATACACTTCTTATGTAGAGCCTCACTAAATTTACATGTGGTAGGCGACGCCAAGGACTTATTCGCAAATGCTGAGTCTGTTAATCTTACCAGCGGATGGTAATCAGCTGTAGAATATATATATCTCTAAAGCCCCACAGGCATGATCGGTAAAATTGATAAGCTTGTCTTTTATTTACTATCCAAGAGAGATGGTTGCAGATCAGTTGCCAGGGCTATTAGTAGCAACAGAGCTTATACAAAAATGATGCCTGCTAATACGGTCACTCTTACTTTGAATTGGGATCGCTTATACCTGCTTGCCGTCTACACAGCCCGTTGCTCGATAGCGACCGCTGCTATGCCCACCAAGGCCGACCTTTGGCTTCGCGTAGCACTCCACACACTTTAAAAATTGTCTGGGAGAGACTGGACCACAGATCCTTTCTACCTGCCTCTAATTGGCATGGTCAATGCGCTTAATCGGCCGTATCTGATTCCGCGGTCGCTATATTAGCCGGCGTTAATGGTAGCCGCTACCGTCCCTGTACTTGCAGCCTGAGTCATAAAATTCGGTGATAGAAAGGGACCAGACAACGAGTAAGTCATATACCTTAATCTTCGTTTCCTGCCTAAATCATTGGCCAGTTCTAGTTTTAACCTCGAGCAGGAGATCTGAAAGGTCCATGAGGTGATACGTGGAGTCCCATCAGCCGCCGACCAATTTTCCGTTTCCGTTCCGCGGACATTCAAGCTTTCTCGGCATTCGGGGAGATAGAGCCCCGGCCTCGACTCGTTTCAGTTGAGTCCTCATACAGGACCGTGGAAGGAAGCAGCGGAAATTTAAGAAGACAATAGAAAGTGGCTTTAGCGGTGCCGTAATATGAACAGCATGTTGCATGTTTTTGGGGCCATTTACTTCACAAGGCATCATGGCGGCAAACGTCAGGCCATGTGTCATGTATGCGCCTGTGGCCTTTTTTTCACCGCATCAGCCACATTTCAACATGCAATGCGAATGTTGATTATGTGTCATAATGATATTCTAGACGGGGGCTATTATGCCTACCACTCCAGGAGAGAGCCTCGTGTGGGTTCGGGTTCCATCAGATTAATGTTTTAGTTATTGATCGTCATTGACTCATCGGTTGCAAAGTGGGGGTATTCCCGCTCGGAACCCGATCAGGAAGAATCAGGGTTGCTTTTAATTCTTTGCTCTTATCTCCGGTGCCAAGGGCCGTGGTTGGCCCACGGCGAACAGACACTAGTACTACTCAGACCACACGTTATTTCTTTTCCTACGGAATATTCTGTACGATGTACGATGAACGGAGTACGCCCTCCGATCAGGCATCGGGTCTGGCGAATAGGAGGATCTATGGCCCCCACCACGCTGCCAGTCATGCTGTGACAATGGCTGTGAAGTTAGCTCTTAGGGCTTCAAACAAACGGGGGCGGTTTACTTTTCCCGTGGTCCACGTTCCAATAGAAGCTTCTACTAAGGGCCCGCGGAGGCCGTAAGCACCGACTCGCCGTGTCGCCGCAATCATCAGTTTCTTAACTCCGAATTTAGTGTCGGAAAGCCCGAAACTTCTGCATGGTATTTATCTCCTTGGGTAGCTGCTACCCATAGCTGAAGATGTTTTTCTTCTCAGTATCGAAATCAGGCTTCCTACATCATGGAGAGCGCAAAACATAGTGAAGCGACGTTACAGGCGCAATCTGTCGCCATAGACGACAAGAGTCTACGTGAAGATGTACACACCCCACCAGCAGAAGCGCCAGTTCCAAAATCCGATGAAAAGCCCGACGAGCACAAGTGGCTCACAGGCCTCCCTCTTCTGATGGTCATGACTGCAGTCACGCTGGTGGTGTTTTTGATGTTATTAGATGTGTCTATTGTGTCTACGGTGAGTTTACTGCTAACAGTAATCGATGCAACTTTTGTGGTACGGTACAGAGTACTGACGGTTCAGGCTATTCCTCATATCACGAACCAATTCCATTCGCTTGATGATGTCGCCTGGTACGGTAGCGCATACACAATTGCGAGCGCATCGCTACAGCCTCTTACTGGCAAATTCTACGGCAACTTCGTTCAAAAATGGACCTTCCTCGGCTTCTTCTCGGTTTTCGAACTCGGCTCTCTCATCTGCGGTGTCGCTACCTCATCCAAGATGCTTATCGTTGGAAGAGCTGTGGCCGGCATGGGGTCTTCGGGCATGGTAAACGGCGCGCTTAATATCTTGGCTAGCATCTTACCTATGCATAAGCGACCGATGTTCATGGGATTCATGATGGGATGTGAGTTCTCCACTCCCAGCTACAAGTGATAAAAGCTGACACTGGAGTAGTTTCTCAGCTGGGACTAGTATGTGGTCCGCTTATCGGTGGCGCATTCACCTCATATTCGACATGGCGTTGGTGTAAGTGTTACTCCTCGTCTATTACTAGACATACTTCTAACCACAACAGGCTTCTACATTAATCTTCCGATTGGTGCCCTGGTCGGCATCCTTCTGATCTTCACTAACATTCCGGAACAACATGCAAAACCCAGAGCTGCGGAAGTCTTCCGGTCGGTGATTCTTAAGAAATTCGACCTCTTCGGATTTGTCCTGTTCGCACCCGCCGCTATTGAGCTGCTGTTGGCTCTCCAATGGGGCGGCAGTCGGTATCCCTGGAAGAGTTCGACCATCATCGGTCTGTTTTGCGGGTCCGCTGCGACGTTCGTCGTCTTCGGTCTCTGGGAGCGGCGCATGGGTAATGATGCTATGATTCCGGGGCAGTTAGTAAAACAGCGCATAGTTTGGAGCAGTTGCATGACCATGTCGATGATGTTCGGAATGACCATGGTTATGGCGTACTACCTACCCATCTACTTCCAGTCCGTGAGAGGCGAATCCGCCCTCATGAGCGGTGTCGACTTGCTGCCGAATATTCTATGCCAGCTGGTTATGGCAGTGCTCTCGGGTATCCTTAGTAAGTGGCTAGCATCTACGCCCCCTTAACGCGCCCCCTTAATCTATATCCCCGATCCCTAACATCCCCCAAGCTGGCAGATTAGGATACTATCTCCCATGGGCCATCTTTGGCTCCATCATGACCTCCATCGGCACTGGTCTCCTGTCAATGCTCTCCCCCACCACCTCGACACGAGATTGGGCCGGCTTCCAGGCCATAGTAGGTCTTGGACGTGGCGCTGCCACTCAAGTAGTATGTTTACCCCCACCCCGACATCCGTCGCCCACTGGAACCCCAAACTAACAAATGATGCCAGCCCATGGTCGCCATCCAAAACGCCGTAACCCCCGCTCAGATCTCCCCCGCAATGGCCATCCTCACATTCAGTCAAACCTTCGGCGGCTCTATCTTCCTCGCCGTCGCCGAGGTCCTTCTCACCGCAGGCCTGAGAAAGAAGATCCCCGAGTACGCACCGAGCGTCAACCCCGAGACTGTCATCTCAGCGGGCGCTACTGGATTCCGGGATGTCGTTCCAGCCAAGGATCTTCTCTCGGTGCTAGTTGCGTATTCGAAGGCGATTGACGAGGTATTCTATCTGTGTGCGGCGCTTTGTGTGGTTCAATTCTTCTTTGTGTGGGGCATGGGGTGGAAGAATGTCAAACAGGGGAAGCAGGAGCAGGAGAAGAAGAAGTCGGGTGGGGAGGGTAAGGAAGTGGTTTAATTGCACTTTTGTTTTCTGTGGAATGGGTTGGGTTCCATTGCATGGTTTTGCGGTGTTGCGTTGGAATATTATAGAGTCATAGTTGACTTGATTAGCGACTGGTTCGTGTTAATGATAATTATCTCATCTCAGTCTTGGCATTGTATGCTGCTTATTGTAGGGAGATGGAAAGTGATGACAGATTTGCTCAATAATTTTAGGAGGTAGAATCGTCGAGAAGTACGAGTTTTAGTGGTGTAGGTAACAGAATTGTGGCAATGATCGGGATACTCCTACACGGTTGAAACAGCACGTTTAGGACACGCGAAAATACACACACACACAGAGAGAGAGAGAGGGGGGGGG